AAATAAAAATTACATAAAAATCACGACGTTTCGGAGGCAACACAAGCTTGCAACACAAGCTTGCCTCCGAAACGTCGTGATTTTTATTTTATTTAACTTTTATTAATTTTAATTTTTTACCTACGTGACTTTATCGAAAAAACCTAAGAATATGAATCCTTGCAGTCACGAAAGCTTCAAATCTAGACGTTTTCGCCTTACCTAATTAATGCAATTCCCATAATTTATAGTCCATTTGTTACCTATTCAAATACAATTTACTTTTAAAGCAAAATGAATGAAATGAAGAGCATGCTGCGGTATAAAATATCAGGCAACACAGACCCATTTTCATTTAAAAAAATTATGAGTTCTATTCACAATCAAGAATTTAAAATAAATGTTTTGGTCTTTGTACTAAAATTGGATTAAGTAAAATGTTTTGCGTTCCACTCTAAACATTGTACTCTGTCGCATTGATTTATTTGCCATATATCATGTCCACCAGTGGAGCCTCTTAGTGCGTATTACAATATTGCCTTGCATGTTTACAACGCATTAATAATGCATGGTCAACGAAGAGAAGCGTTATTGTTATTTAGCATTTCTTAGACTGACAATGCATCAATTATTCAGGAATTCAGGTATTGAATTAAAGTTAAGATGTGTACGGTTCATCTCGTATATGAAGTAAAGATCGATGTAAACGTTTCGGTGTACCTCCAAACCTTGAGTGAAATTCATGGGGCTGCACGTGACAGCACTGCCGATTAAGGCACGCCAGGACACACTTTTCGATGGAAGGCCAAATTATGAACCTTTGTTATTCATTAGCATGAGTGGAAGCAACGAAACTCACAACAATGCAGGCCCTTCCTGAAAAAGAGTCAATAATAGCAACTCCTAGAGCCGACCCTGAGCCAAAATCCCAAATGATAAAAAGGTGCCAAAATAAAGCACCGATTGCTGATTTAGAGAACTTACACATGAAAATGGCAGGTTAATAAAACGTAAAAATTATCAAAACCATTCCTGAGATAATCTGCAAGCTCTAAATGTTGTGTTCAACTTACATTTAGTAAATATGAATATTGAACGTCTTCGGTAAGTGAGGCTGAGACAGTGATGTCACTGGGGTGCTTTTAGTGATTAGCGTTTCAAGGTTTTTGAATGTCTGACTGAAATGAAATGCGTTTCCTCATTGTGCGTTGACAGCCTACTCGGGGGGGGGGGAGGAGATTAACATCTGGGCCAATGCGGCTGTTTTAAAACCCGTAGTCATGAATATGACTGCGAAAGTTGGCTGTTTTTGTGTTTTTTAAAGGCCCGCGTGGCAAGGCAAGTTTTCCCACATTCCTATGCAACAGTCGCGGGGCAGAGACGGGAGAGGTGCAGAGGTCGATCTCTCCCGACACAACACATGGAAGGAGGGTGGGCCCCCCAGACGGGCGGGTTCCCCCCCCCCGCCCCCCTGTTTTCCAGGAGGGTCCTGCATTGTCCTTTCATTCGTAAATTAATTTTTTCAGACAATTAACACTGGGCGCTTATACAAGTGGGAGGAAACCGGAGAAAACGCACACGCGCGAGGGGGCAACGCTCTATCCCCCCATCCCCCCGTACTAATGGAAACCGAAGACGATCGTTCCGCTTGCTGTTGCCACATCTCCCGGCGAGTCAGGGTACGGGCACCTTCCTCGACGCCCAATGGGGAAGGGAATTTCACATTTGCGCGATTGATCCACCGACCCTCGCTGCCACTGGATTACAAGTGACGTGCATCGGAGCACCACCGCCCGGCTCAAACAAACAGGCTGCAACCTACAGCATCGAATTGTAGCGCCGCTTGCAAATGCTGTCCCCCCTCCCCCCCCATTGTCTCCTCCTCGTGTCAACAACGAGCACGCGAATACAGCACCAGGTCTCGGCACCACCTCGGTGGCCCCTTGGGCTCCACCTGTGCCTTAGCCCGGCCACCCACCTCCTCCACCTTCCCACAGGTAGCGAAGCCCTCCGCCTACCTCTCCTGCTGCTGCTGCTATCCAGCCACCGCCTCAGAACAACCCCTCCCCACCACACGCTTCTCCCAGCAACAACCATTTAAATCTACAGGGTGGTCCCGATGTCTTGTGACCCCCCCTGCCCCCCCCCCCCCCCCCCATGTAATTATCTAAAACGTAATATTTTTGCAGTAAGGTTTTATTCATTTTAGGGTCAGCTATTTGGGGATCACAGCACATCTGGACCGCCCTATACACTCAGACCCACGGTGTGAAAGTGCAGTCTCCAACTCGTCTCTGGCCACACGATCTAGCCACTCTATGTGTGTGCTTTGAAGAAGGCTCGTTGTCTGCAACGTCGCCTATTCAAAAAAGATATATTTTATGCCAGCAGTGTTATTGACGAATGTGTAGAGTTTTTCATTCATACCACAACTCATTACATCCACCTCCTTGCCTCCTGTTTATATCGGTAGCTTACACCTACTGATTTAAAAATAAATGTAGACATTCCACACAAACACATAATGTAGGAGGAGCAAGTGCTGTTAGCTCCTACATTATGTGTTTGTGTGGAATATCTTCACTCGGGTCGCCTGGTTGAGTAGCGCAACGCGTTAAAACGTTGCATATGAAGACAAAGACAAAAACTTGCGATTTCCATAACCTGCACTCTCACACCTGCGTAACGTGCACATCAACTGGAGGCACTGGCTGCATCGAGATGCACAGCCTCAAAGCCTGAGCTGGTACAACACCGTGCTGCGTTGTCGACCGTGTCGGAGTAACATTCCTCGCCCAGGAACGCAACAAACCTGTTAAACATTCACCGGATGAATCCATTCGATTGTAACCCCCATTTCTCTCTCTCTCTCTGGCATTCCCGGCGCAAACAAAGTGGTCTTCCGAAGAAACTAATCAGTAAATTGCAACTAATTCAGCATGCAGCGGCATGTGTACTGATTAAAACCAGAAAGAGCATCCACGTAACACCCAGATCCTTGCCCTGGCTGCCAGTCAGTCATGGAATTGATTTTGAAATTCGTTTGATGGTTTTAAAGTGCTTGAATGGTCTGGCACTTGTATACATGTGAACCATGCTTCTAAGATATGAACCAACAAGATCCCTCGGATCCTCTGGTATTGGTATTTTAGTCGTCCCAAGGCTCGGGACCAACCCCCAGGGAGAAGGAGTGTGTAGGTGGTACAGCCTGCCACGGGATCTGATGGCTTCAGAATCATTAAGCACTTTTTAATAAAGAAATCTAAAAACTTTTAAAAACTTGCTTTTAATTAGGATTCTCGTAATGTGTTATTTTTATTATGCCTTTGCGATAAATTTTGTAACGTTATTTTATTTTGCCAACAATTTCACTCTTATTGTTCATGTCTGTAAATCACTATATTTTGCTATTTTTTGCACTAATAGTGCTTTAGAATCTTGATTTTAAGCTTTCGTGACTGCAGGAATCCATACTCTTTGGTTCTTTCGGTAAAGTCACGTAGGTAGAAATAAAATAAAACAAATCACGAGATATCGATCGCAACACAAGCGGTCGTCATCAGTCAAAGGAGTCAGCCTCTAAAGACAAACTGTTGTTGATGGGCGTAGCCCAAGTGCACCAACAATAACTGTTGTTGGTGTTGATGGGCGTAGCCCAAGTGCACCAACAACAACAACAGCAGTTGTTGTTGTTGTTGACTCAAGTGCACCAACAACCTTTGTTGTTGTTGGCTAAAGTGTCCATCCCCAAACCCTTATAAACAGTTCGATCGAAACGTCCTAATTTATTGTATTTATAACTACGTGACTTTACCGAAAGAACCAAAAATTAGTGCTATAGAAATAAAGTATCATTGATTGATTCCCCCTTATTGGAGGCTTCGAGGGTTGGTGGATCAATCGATCGATCGTTTGTTGTGAAACCTCCTTCCACCGTGGGGTTAGCCGGTGGAGTTGAGGACGAACCATTCTCCTGGCTCGCCAGGAGACGGCGGTAACAGCTAAACCCGAACCCGATTCTCATCTTTTCATACTTTGATACTGACAAACTAAAAATGGTCCATGTTGTGTGTTACCTGTTCGCAACTCGCTCCCGTTCATTATGAACGCCCATGGCATCGGCTGAACGCGTCCTACTCATGGCAGAGAGAAGCTTCAAAAGCTCGGGCAACTCGCTCTGTGGCTTCCTTGGCGATTGTGAGAGAGGCACATTTTACAACGACGCCATCGATTCAGACGGCTTACCTGGACGTGACGTAGGGTGGTCAACACAAAGCCGTCAAACCTTGTGACCAGTGCCGGATTATCCCAGTAGCAAAAGTAGCTACACGTGTAGTAGCCGCTACACGTGTAGTAGCCACAACACGTGTTGTAGCCGCTACAACACGTGTAGCGGTACTACACGTGTAGCGGCTACAACACGAGTAGCGGCTACTACACGTGTAGCGGCTACAACACGTGTAGTAGCTGCTACACGTGTTGTAGCCGCTACACGTGTTGTAGCTACTACACGTGTAGGAGCTACAACACGTGTAGCAGCTACTACACGTGTTGTAGCTGCTACACGTGTAGGAGCTACACGTGTAGGAGCTACCGGCCCCGCACTTTCAAGGGCCACGCGCTAAATGCTTTCAAGCTATAAATACCAGTTCAGTGATTCTGCACTTGCTCTATTACTATAGTACTATACCGCCTTCGACTTTTACGAACGACTGGGTGTTTAAGGTTAGCGATTTGTCGTATTATCTGGCCGTATAAAAAATGAAAATACAATTACTTTACTATGCCAGTTAAAAAAATGTGTTTGAATATTTATGGGTTTTTTTTTTATTTAGGGCCCCTTTATAACATATGCTACAAGCCCAGCACTCGCTTCATCTGCCACTGCTTTGTGACGTTCCAACCCATCACGCCCCAAAAGGCAGCGGGGATTCACGCGACTCACCTGCCAACCCACACACAGTGACTCCCAGCACCTTTGCGAAAGCCCCACTAACAACGTTCGCGGATCTCGTACTCACAATTCCTTTCACTCAAGCGACGGTGGCGGTGGTGGTTGTTGTTGCGGCGAGGTGGGAGGGATGAAGGAGGAGAGTGAAAGACGACCACGAACGAGCGCGTTGTTTTTGTTCTCAAAACAACAAAAAAACGGGGGTAGTGGGAGTATCCAGAGCCAAGTCGCTAGGGGCCAGCCCACACAAGCAGCCTTGCCACATTCATTGGACTGTTGCTCAACAAGCCCAAGCACCGACAAACATTACCCCGTAATAGACTTTTCAAAGTGTTTGGGGGGGGGGGTGTAAGCGCTTCTGGACGAGTAGCACTTATGAAGGCCGGCACGGTACACGAGGACGGTCAACGTACACCACGCCCGGCCGCCTTTGTCTCCCCCAGTGGTGATGTGTTTAACACACCACACCAGGTACTCGTTTGAGGCCGGTTCAGATGACCGTCACGGACGTTGACGGCCGTGGGCCACAATCAAACTCGCCAAATGCATAGCGCAGCGCGCTAACCGCTGCACCACCGCTCCCCGCCCACTCACCCTCTCTCTTACGCAAGCCGCCACCCTTTTTCCGCTAGGGATGCTCGACTCCGATACAGTATCTTTGGAGTCGTGACCAGAGTCTATAGATTGTTGACCTGGGATTTGTTGTAATGCATTCTGATTTCAATCCCACATCCCCGCACCAAGTTACTAAAGCATAGAATTGTTACACCCCCTATATTTTGTAATCGAATGTACTATTGCTGGATTAATACAGCACGAATAATTCAGGAAGCAAGTGAAAAAAATACCTATGTACAGAAGCAATAAACATTAACTGAATGGTCCGAATGTATTGATACCTGAATGTTGATCATCTACTTTAGGATGTCTACATATAGTGTACATACTGTCCTGTATATTGAAAAATAATCAAAGTATAAAAATAACCAATACATTATCACAATTCACACAAAAATAATGACAGTACTTTATTAAAAACTAACCAATGAATAATAGCATTGCAAACCTGATACTCGAAAAACTAACCAAAAAAATAATTCCTATTTTCATACTGGCCACCAATAATTTAACCTTCCAACTGCACATTGTAATACAGGAAGAGGGTCATGTTGACCAAATTAGTTTCTTAAATATATAATTGTGTAATTTAGATTCCAAGATTTGAAAAAGTGGGGTTAAAGTCGACTCCATGCAGCTACAAATAATCGATTTCGAAACTTCCACCTTATCACCCAGTCGCTGTTTTTATGAGAGTTGATCATTTACATTATAATAATTACCCAATCCACAGAGCCTGGTTGTAACCAGACCCTGCTTGCCACTATTCTATTCTTGCGTATGATGACAGCAACCTGTTGAGGAGCGAGATACCAATGTCGATATCACGAGAGGGCTTCACGAGAGAGTTTGTGTAGTGTTGCTTTTCCTCCTCCGTGTTCCTATTCGATTCAGAGTTTGAAATGCAGTCTTCTTCTTTCGTATGGCTGATGTAGAACTAAAATTATACATTCAGGTGAACCAGATAAACGCGTCAGTAGTGGTGTGTATCGCTGTGATGTCTTTTTGGATAGGGCATTACATCGTTAGATGTTGTATGGTCTGTTCTGGATGACCAGTCGCACACTGGAGTTTTTAATTGTCCATTTGTGCATCAGGTATCCTCATCTGCCATGGTTTGCGCGGATGCAATTTCGGATGGCCCATGAAAAATGCAGTAACTCTCTGTGTCCACCAGGTGGAGACTCGCCACCGCGCACGGCTCGACGATGGCTTGCGGGTTGATTGACGTGAGAGTTTGACATTTCTTAATTGCCTTTTACATTAGAGTTGAGACCTTACACAGCTCTCCGTGCGGAAATTAAGATGACATGAATCTTTTCTGAAATGGGCAATTGGGGTGCCACATATATACACTCGTGGTCCAAACAGATGGTGGTGGAAATTCCACATTCATATGGCAAGGGACAGTCTCTGCGAAGAAAAGCAGTCGACATAAAAAGGTGTTACTTATTTTATCGACCTCCTTGGGGTATGGTATGACAAGTTTCCACCAGCATGGTCTATGCGGTGACATCGCAGCAGGCTCTGTGTACTAACATTATGTGTTTTGGTCAGCATAACATGACAGCTTGAACTTTTGATTTGACTGCATCCTCTGTGGACTGACAGTAACTTTTGTAAACACGATCAAACAGGATACACCAAATCGCAAAGGGCTATTCTCTCTTCTGTAGTAGTTTGTGCTTAAGTTTCTCGGTTGACCTTTGTGAGTTCAAAGTTACATTTAAGGGCACAAGTGTCAATATACAGCCTTTTATTTTTTATACAACACTTTTTTAACACGTAAAACAATCCAACACCTGCTGTCAATCTTAACGACTCTGTGACATTCACAAGAGCATCTCCGTGGGCCCATACCACACTCGTCAGTGAAGGTGGGACTCTGGCGCAGTCCAGATATCACTTTCTACTTATGTTAGTCATGGCTGGAATTCAAACTAAGGTTGCCAGGCTCACTTGCACAGTGTGGCAAGCACGGTGCTACCGCTCTACCCTGAGCCAATACAAAGAACACATTTTATTATTATCAACCAAGTAGAAATTAAACAGTTGTCACATTTTAGTCCGCCGACTCTCTCCAAAACAAGAGATGTAATTACACCCTTAATGAGTTCAAGGATATTTAATTGAGTTGAATGCACAATTGTACATTTAAGATGTGTGAGCATGCAATCTAGCAAGAGGTAAAGTCATTGCCATTACCTTGGAAGCATGCATTACCAAAACAGACCATCTTGTCTTGATATGTACCATTTTACAAATTGCACCCAATACTGGATAATCTGAAATTAAATTGGAAAATGATGAAATCATCAATTTGTCATTTTGAATGTTTCTCAATCGCATATGTATGTTTTACTCTTGTGATAACCAGTATAACTTTTGTTGACACTTTCCTTTGGCTTTTATAATCTAAAGCAGTACAAGCGAAGGGAAGAAAAAAAACTTCAGTTATTTTATGAAACTGCCCATTGGCTAGGAGGCATCAGCATACAATAACGGTAACTGTGATATTTCTAAGCCAATATTTTAAAGTGAAACTACTATTTAGAAACAGTGCTAAATATGACAACGAAACCATCAATAGTCTTTTGTTAATCCTCAGTCCATTGATTATCCGTTCTATCATGGCCGAAGCCGCAACTCCTATTTAGGCATTTCACAAGGTGGAGAGCAGCAATTGCACAGATTTTAAAACGTAAAAACTAACAACCGTACAATTTGGGTGACCAGTGAAAAGCGTGGATGTTCACATGTCACTGAAGATTCTTCCAGCTGATCCAAACACCAGACACAGCCGACCACCACTTTCAGTTGCGCTGATTCATCCCCGTCAAGTTCTTTAGCTGCACAGTGGAAAAAAAAATGTGTTGAATTAAGCGACAGAATGTTATAACGCACACTATCTGCAAATTGCAGGTGGAAGCAAGCTTCGAATGACTGCGTCTCAATCAAATTACCGTAACAGCGGCACCAACCAAGCCCTGCACCAACGCGTCACCCGTGTCCTTCACCTGCCGGGGGACGATGGCAACGCCGCAATTAGCAGGGCCTCAGTGTTGATACCACAAAGAAGCACCACCTTGTTTAAAGGTGGGACACTACGCATCGTCAAGACACTGCACAGCACAGGAAAACTGAACGTCATCTAGAAAAGAGGCAATCTCAGAATGGCAGATGGTGTGCACACTGAGTTTGTGAATGTTTGTTGGAACCCGTTATATGCGAGGGCCAGGCTGTGTGTGCTATATGCATACATGATTGGTGTATGACGGCCATGCTTTACTTTGGGGTTAATAACCAAAATAACATGTGGCATAAATTGAAAGTGATAATAATTAAGAGTAAAATTAAGAGTGAAATTAAAGTAAAATCAACAGATGAAAATCTAGATATAAAGAAAAATGTGTGAGCATTAAAACTCAGTACATGCTGCTAAGATCTTTGGGTTGAATCTGAACAGCCATCCACAATTTAACTGTTTTTTTATGTGTAGCAGATTGATAGTCTTAGCCCAGTCGTCAAAACCTATCATAAATATTGAGGGAATTTATTTGCAGGAGCAATCTCATTAGATACCAATAGATTTGTCATTAACGGTACCTAATAACAGAACAATATATAAGCCATCGCCTTTGGGCAATGGCAAAATGAACTGCTTTCTGAATGAGTTCTGAAAAATGTTTTTGTTGGACGATGTCAAAAACGCTATTGGAATAAAAAATTTAAAAGGACACTAGCATAAAACGAAGAACTTTGGCTACGTACGGTGCGAAAGAAGTTAAATATACATACATATAACTTAAAAAAATACATTAAAAAATTATGAAGAATATCTACAATCTTGAGTTAACAATTCAGCGTGCGTACGAGCGCCAACAGCGCTGGTAATCGGCGACTGTCCGCGCGCCCACGTGCCTGCTGGGCAGTCTGCGCGGCCATCATGGCGTTGCCGATGCGGTTCTCCAGGAAGGTCCAGGTGTCCTGGAAATCGTGCGACTTGTCCTGCACCATCACCAGCTCCGTGGCATTGTAGACGGCAGCCAGCACTCCACGACGCGTATACCAGTTGAACTGCATATTCAACATAGGGTCAATATATGGTTCGTTTCAGTTTGCTTACTGATTATAACTATCTTAGATTGCACAGAATTTTTCACTCTACCTGAATTTCACTCAACTAAAATATATATGGAATATATACAATTTCATCCTGCTTTTCAGCGGACTATATTTTTAAAAGGACATTAATTGCCTATCACCAAATCATTCACAATGTGCCATATTCTATCAGATCTTGAATGCTAAGCAGAGGTTTGAACCTGGATAGTGCTTGGATGGGTGACAGCCATGCACAAACTGGTTGTTATACGGTTGCGAGGCTACATTGTGGGTGCCATAGGGCTGTGCACCAAAATTCATTGTTGTATTTTACTTCTATGGTTGCCACATTAACTAACCGGCAATGACCTGTGCGGTGAAGTATGGTCAAATAATCCCCATGACCCATACGGTATGGGGAGATTGACAAATGGTTCGTATATGTGTACATTCACATTTTAATCAATCCCATTCAATACTATGCTTAGACACAAATAGACTGCGTGCGGGTAAAAAAAAATGGTGCACGTTTACAAAAATTCCGCCACCTTTATGAATGGGTACACCAGTTAATACATCGGCAGGTCACGTAAGGTGGGGTAAACTGTGGGTACACATACCTCTTCAATTTGAAACAGTAGGCCAACATTCCCTCTAGAGGGCTTCTGTAGAGCTCCCTAGAGTGGAGGCCCTTCTGCCCACAGTGATGTAAAAAAATACAATACCAGGACTATACCTTTACAACTATTTTTATTTTACCAGGTAACACCCACTGACTTATACAGTTCTTTTTCAGGAGTGACCTGGTCACAAATGACAGCTGAACGAAGTGGCTTATCACCAAGTGTAAATTTATAGCAGCCAAATATTCGAAACGCATGTTTCCAAATGCGGGGGGGAAAACCGTAGGACCCGAAGAAAAATCCACTCGACCACGTGGAAAACATGCAAACTCCTAATATACAGGCATCGGGGTCCGGATCGAACCCACGACCTCCTGGATACCACTGGGGTAATCTGAACTACAATCCTTTGATACAAAGCCAAACATAAACAAGGCAAGTAAGAGTGTCCCTTCTCCTTGGGCACTAATCCACAAGGGGGTGTGGTGGGCACATACATCGGTGGAGCGGTCACCACCCTGGTAGCAGATCTCATCCACGAGCGCCGTGAGCAGCGTCACGCTCTCCGGCAGGTTCTGCGGCATCACCAATATCCCCATTGCCTGAGCACACCGGGCAGGAGAAATACAACCGTAACGGCGAGCACAGTGTCAGTCTGGCTGGAACCAGTTTTAATTGCTCAGTTCGCTTTATACACTTCATAAACGTACTACACACCACCAATATGGTTTAAATGAGGAGCAATTACCTATTTCCCATAACACCAATTACCCATTAACCATTACAATAGGAGAAAAGTCAAACGTTTCTCCATGGTCTTTTGAGCATTGGGCGATTTCCATTGTTGGGCCCGAGTAAGTTGTGAAATTTACATATTCCTGGTTCCGAGTCAGTTGGGAAATTTCCACATTCTTATGACAAGGACTCTTCTTATTCACGAGACAGTGAATGCTGATTTTCTACTATATGGGTGGTAACTAGATGGTACAAATTTGACCGACGTTTTTTTAAACTAATTTTAATCATTATGGGTTGCGTTGACCCTGGGCAGGATTTGAATGCACATCATTATCATGCGTTCAATGATTTACCAAACTAAGCCTCGATCATTACATCCAGCAGCTATGTAGCTTTAAGGGCATATTAAAAGCACCAGCATATTTACTTTTAATCGTATTGTACACAGACAGTCATGTTATTGGCACAAACACAAATCATGACCTGCTCACAGATATGCCAAGACGCTGACTCCTGCAAATGCATTAATTCAAAGTGGATTTCAACCAGTGTTGGGTAAATTGCCTCAGCAGGACTAATTACCAGAGGATCAAATCAGAACTGGGATGGGTGTACACAGGATTTAATGGGCAATTGCTGCTTTGACACTTGGATTAACAGCTGGGGAACCCACATCATTTACACAGCGGTGACTCTGGAAATGGAAACGTGATGTCGTGACATGTTGGTGTTGCCAATGTATCAAGTGTGCCGTTTGCATAATGCCCACATACTGATAAGACAGATTTTAAACACAAGTTAAAATATTTTTAAATACACTTTCTTGTTGTGACAATTCTTTTACAATATGTTTAGAATCAAAAACGATTCAGCATTCTTCTAAGTGCACATGCAATTTCAACATATTACCTACCAAATCTTTTGTTATGAGTTAGCAGAGTTAACGCAAATTGCATACTTAGGAGCAGTAGCTAATATTGCTGCATGAGAGGTTTATTGGAGCAAAGCGCATTACACACAAACCTGTGTCCACTTGTCCATGTAGGGGATGAGCATGCGAAGCCTGGCTTCTATTGCGTCACGCAGAAACTGATCAGTTTCCTTGTTCCTACAAATCACATGAGAAAGAACAATTTAACGGTCCTACGACAAAATCAAGTAAAACTCTACATTATAACCATCACGGTCAAATACCGATTTGAGTACCACATTGAAGTATAACAGGCACACAATCAGCATGCTTAAAACTGAATTGGTCTCCAGGTGGACGATTCACGTAATAAATTGCGTCATTCGTTTGGGAAATTCTTTTGTACAATAATTTGAGTTAATAATAAGCCTTCTGAAACTCCTTAAACTTTCTGATCCGTACATGAAACACTTTTACAAAGCTTAAGAGGCATGAACACAAATTAATGAACGAATGACCACACACGATAACTAAAGTGGATATAAGCCTTTGGAACCTCATTTGCCAGTAAAACATATAATAGGTTTTTAACCCTTCTATCTGGCAACAAAACTGACACCATTTTTTACAAGGAGTCATGTTTGCATATACCACAATACCTGCAGTCATAATGCAAACAAAAAACCTAACTATGATAATGTGCACTGTCCTTGAAGTTGATTGATCCACACCCGAGACAGCTTTCCTTAGAGCCTAGTCTCACATGGTGTTGGACCAGATGACGCCAAAAGGCGTGCTGTCTCGGGTGTGGACCAATCAACTTCAAGGACAGCGCATACATTATAAGAGTAATGTTTTTTTGTTTGCATTATGACTGCAGGTATTGTGGTCTATGCAAACATGACTCCTTGTAAAAAAAGGTGTCAGTTTTGTTGCCAGATAGAAGGGTAAAAAACCAATTATCATGGATATAAGCCTGTTGATATGCTCGCGTTACAGCAGCAGCACATTGTGGTCTGACCTCACGGGCGGGGGGTTTGCACTGAATGCCAACACTCACTCTGCCTGCCCGAGCTGCACGAGCTTGTTCTCCTCCGTGAGCTGCTCGGACAGGCGCTTGTTGCAGTCCTGAACGAAGTGCAGCACTAAGTCACCGGCTCCCTTTTGAAAGATCCCGGACACAGCCGGTGACAGGCCTTCTGCCTGTGGTGCCGACGTGCGGCAAAAATGACAATAAAGGAAAACTTTTAGCGAAAGAAATAGCACAATAAGAAATATTTTCAAAACAATACAGAGCCACTGCAACCTCGCAGTTGAAATATATTTCTGGAAGTAGAAAAAAACTGACCAAATTTTGCGGAAAAATAACGCAATTTTATTACATTGCCAAAACAATACTGAGCCACCGCAACCTGGCAGTAGAAATCGATATCTGTAAATATAAAAAAAAACCTGACCATCCATTTCTCAAATCAATCTCTCAACTAACGGTCTCAACTATAGGTCAGCGTGTTTCCATTGTGGATTTGAAATATACATCTGCATTATGAGCTCCACATACTAACATGGTGCACCCACAATGCATTGTCATGACTTACAGCTGGAGTCATGGAGGTCTAACTTATGAACGAAAGTGACAGAACTCCAGCACGGCTGTGACACCACGTGAGTGTGCTAAAATAGTTAGCCGGAAAGTCGCATAGTGATTAGGGTCACATATTTGAATTTTTTTTATAAATTCTCTTTCATTAATGCAGCCTCTTAAGTCATGTAGGACACCCCATAGCACATTGCCATGTTGTGTATTGCATCTAAAATTTTGCACCAAATTATTTTGATGGACTCCGCATGTTTCCCAATGACATACCTGTCTATGAGGGCTATGTGGGTGGTGCATCTCAAATTCCTAACAGAAATGTGGGGCTCATGAAAAGCGTTAAAAAAAAATTAACAAAACGATCATTGGTGGCTGTATCACACTGGGTAGTTATGTTGGTGTGCTGTCGCGTGTTGGTGCTACAAGGTCTCGTACGGTCGCTGCCTCCGCCAGAGCCTCGTTGGTCCAGCCGAGCTCGGGCACAAACTCCAAGGCGCGCATGAGGATCCTTTGCTTCATCTCCTCCTCGCTGTCATAGCCACCGTACTCGCTCCCCATCTCCTCTCCACTAACACGCGACACAGTTGACACACAGAGACAGGCCTGACCTTCAAATTCCAGTCTCAGCTTTCATGCATACTTGGTGTGAAGTCTGTAGAATTATTTTTTTTATAGTTAGAAGAGCACTGTAACACCTCTTGTAATTTTAATTGCAATGTGTAAAAAAAAATTGTGCTTTAATATAGCTCTTTCTTTTATAATATTTTAGTTCCTTAGGTATAACTATATACTTATTTGAACAATTCTGCAAGACTTTTTGCACCCAGGTTTATAAAATGCATCATGTCAATGATTTATCAATGGGGCCTGTGTGACAGCTGTTATGAGGCTGTGGGCTGGAGGTCACACGAACGCACATAATCTCTGGATGTGCAGTGCAACCGGGTTGGCCAAAGGAACGTATAGCCCTGGACATGCTGGAAGATGATCCTACCATATGCCCTTTTAATTTTGACAAGTGAAACTGTACGTGTGTATATTTGCCCCATTAATTGTTATTTTATTTCATATTTCTTCACATATTTTTTTTTTAATTTTCTATGTCAAATGTAAATTATCTAAAAATAAATTATAAAAAAATACATCTCAAATGATTTCTGCCTGGTATAATAAACACGAGTCATCAACTAACCACCGATTTACTTCTTGCACAATGATGCTATCCCATACAAGTATGCAACACCTTTCCCCAAAGTCTCATTATAACTACGTGCTGGTATAGCAAATAGCATGGATGGGGTCGGTACCGCTCTGTGGACTCGGCAGACTTGTGCTCCGCTGAGCCATGCGCGTCTTCCTGCCGGGCGATGTTGGCCCGTGACTCTTTTCTGCTTCGTCGCCCTCCTTGGTGAGCAGCATGGTGGCGGTGTGCAGGCATCGAAGGCCGTTTGTAGCTCGGTGACCCAGACGGGGAGCGCACGGGAGCAGCGTCGCCGTCAGCTTGCGATCCAGGGACAGCCGCCGCAGGCTGCCTGCTATTCTCACAAGTACACATACACGTTCCAAATGTTTTTTTTAATGCACTCTTTGTTTTATAAGCATATTTGCTAAGCAGATGCCCCGGAGGCATATATTGCAAAAGGGCCAGTTGCAGAGAATACTCGAAAATGGACAGAGCAAAAGAGCTGACATGAACTATGTACAGCCCTTTTGCTAATCCACTGCTGAATAGGAGCCTTACCTCGCTCGCCCTCTAAGTTGTGGGGTTATTTAACCACACTTCACCACGCTGGTCAGTGCAGTTTAAGGTAGGGATTACAGATGTTGGAGCATAGAAGTAAAACAATTGATTTTGTTGCATTGGCCTTTACTGCCCTTACCATAGCAAATCTTTTTTTTAATGAGACAATTTATGAGGTTGGAAAAAAACTAGAAGGGAGTTTTAAAGGTGAGACGTATGAGGGGAAAAAAGACAAAAATAGCTGTACAATCCTAGAAGTTGGAGTCACAGAGCCCCCTGAAGGCAGTAGCTCTCAGTAGTATTACAGGAAGGTATGGCTATAACATATCAGTGAAAGTGGAATCATCAATCACAAAACTGAACAGTGAATTCTGACAGCCAGATATCAAATAAAGCTGAGAGATAAATGAGGCTCGAATATAATAAATGTTACTTTATCACCATTTTTCTACCACTGTGACGGTTAACTTAAGGTAGTATTATTTACATACAGTTAATATTCCATGTCATTGCTGTTGCACCTTCATAAAATAAAAATATCAATTGCCTTTCAAGTTTAATCAAGAATGACATATTTTATTCCATTTCAAAAATAAGTAAATATTGCACCTGAAGGTGCAATCTTGACTTCCTAGCTCAAGTGCAACACCCTTTGTTTGCTTTTCTTATTATCCCAATATCCCAGAATTGATCCACGTAAAATGCAATTGCTTGTTGACACAAGAGAGATTGGTGCCAGAAAGACGTGGCACTACTTGAGCATATTTGCACAAGACAGAGGAAAATGGAAACAAATTACGAAATGTGCAGTAGACGCCTACGGAGTAACCTGCCCGTGGACCGTGATGATGAAAATTAAATTATCCGTTCTAAGTACTGTAGTGCTATCCAGGAAGCGGTGGTAAATTCCTATTACCCGCTCGATGGTATGCAACGCACACACATGGTCCGTCTATCCCAGTCGTGGAATGAAATGATTGATGACCATGCGATTTGAGTCACCCCCAGAAGAAGCGGTTTCTGCAACCTTATAAGTGAATTATCTTATCAAGGCAGAAATGCGGATCGAAGGTCTAACCAGGAATTGCTGGCAAATGCATCGCAATGTACGCGATTATCTATTGGATTTCAACCAAATATTCTTCACACAGAAGTGGTCTCAAAAATAAGTGGCGAATTAATCGTCGGCTTTCTGACAAATTCATACGAAAATGAACATTTGTATAAGAGCAGATATTAGAATCTGCAAATAGAGCCCCTTCATATCAGTGGATAACAATACAAATGACAGTTCCACGTGCCCGATTAGCTTGGTTAAGCTGTGTCGAATGTGGAAATGAAGGGTAGCGTGACCTACAGACCGTTTTTATTTTACATATGCTGCGATGTTTAATTTTAACGCAATGGGGACGGTGTCCCATTGGGTTGTGGGCTAAATTATTGGCAATGCACAACCGCCCTGCACCAAGCTGCACTAACGAGCGTGCTAAAGTATGATCAACCACCACGACCGGTAACTTGGTGGGAAGGCCTTTCTCTAACAGTACAATACTGATAAAAGGCTGTCTAGGCGAGGTAAAGTCAATGTCTCCGTGCTAAAACGAGCAGAGAGGCGGAGCTCATATCAATTGGCTGCCCTCACTTACCCAGCGGCGGTCAATTCCACATTCTTATGGCAGGTGTCCCAGTCCGCCCATATGACATTGCCTGGCAATGTTGCCCCCAAAGCAGTACCAACTTTATCGGCCCGAGGGCAGCGACAGTGACACTTGGCTTGCGTGAAGCACAATCCTGTATGTTAGAAATGTGGCTGATATCGTTTGCACAGCCAAGGCCACTGCAAAGTCAGAACAGAACCCGCCAGCACAAGGGGACCCAACGACAATTCAACGCGTGAGGCGATTCAGTGCTGATCTACAACACGAGCCAGCCACGTGTGGAGGACGCAACGTGACTTGGTGTTGGCGTGTTTCTTGATTTCGTAAGTTATTGATGTTGCTGTCGTTGTTATTGTTGCTGCTTAAACTTACCGGACAGGACGAGACGCACAGCGCCCCCTCGCAGAGAAGCCGCCATCGTTTTGACAATCACAGCCCCCACCACGCCCCTTGCCGTGCGACGCGAGAAACTCCCCGCCATCTTACCATGGGGTGAACCTGCGCCGCTTCAGGCGTCACGTTCCTATAGGCGAGCCAACGTCGTCGCACCTTTGATGACGTCACCCCCCTATGTTGCTTGCCTACGCGTGATTTTACCCTAAGTAAGATGGCCGCTGTGGAGGAGGGGGTGGTGAGGGGGGGTATTATAGTCCGTCGAACGAGGTTCACAAGCTGACAGCAACCCCCCCCCCGCTCCCCTTGGTTGGTTTCATCCGATTACGTGCGAGACAAAGCGACGGTTTTGATTGGTTGTTGCTGGTGGCGTTGACCAATGGGTGTGGAGGCGCTGCGGGCGCGTCCACTTGGTGTTTTTTTTTATGGGGGGCGGGGGAGATGGTGGAGCGGGGGGGGGGCGAGCTCGTGTACGGACTGCCGCGGTGGTCAAAATAGCATGCGAAGCAAAAATTTACCAAACGCGTTTTGTGATTGTGGTTACGTCATACGTTTCTCAGTCGCCAAAACCAATTGATATGCTTATGAAACTTTTAGTTCATTTAGTATATTCTTATTTAAATGTACTTATAATAATATTATTTGTTATGTTGACTGTCTATTGCTGCTGTGTCCTGTGCAGCGCTTTGAGATCCTTGATGAAAAGCCGCTATATAAATGTTGTTATTACAATGCGTGGTGGAACCGCGTTGCTTCCAATGGTATTCGAATGGACTGATTTCACCAAAGTGACGTTTTAAATGAATTATATTCCGTACGATTTACAATGCATATAACATTCGGTTAAACCCTTCACTGTGTGCGAAAAATTTTACTTTCTTCAGCAAGCTCTCAATTACTCTAAACTTTATTGAATAACCTTATGTAATTTTATTGTTGAGTGTCATGGACGGTAGTTTTCATGAATAATTATGTCACAACAGTCTTAGATATTGTTTTCGTAATTGTAATTATTGCTTAGCAAGAGTTAATCTGGTAGTGGTTTTTGAACATTTATTTTTAATGTGCTTCCAAAAGAGCACTTGATTTATCGTGTCTCGTTATATACATTATTGTGGATGTTGAATTGATGTCATTTTACTATTTTAAGTGCGATTCAAATGTTTAATTACTGTGTGAAGTGTTTACCACGTGTTATGACTTGCTGTTAATCTAATACCTGTCAACCCCTTATCAGTGCCTACATTATTACAGATCTTATTGGTCACCCCCGTGCCCTTTATAAATCTCAACGTTCATCCTACAAAAGTCCCATCACAAGGGATTAACACAAATAGACATTCACCACAAGTTCACTCACTACTGGTATTCACCACTACATACCTGTCAACCCCTTATCAGTGCCCCATCTTATTACAGAGCAATTCTGATCTTATTGGTCACCACGTGTCCCTTATGAATCCCAATGTTTATCCAACAAAAGTCCCATCACAAGGGAGAAAGACAAACAAATAGATATTCACCACTACATACCTATCAACCCCTTATCAGTGCCCTACCTTATTACAGACCAATTCGGATCTTATTGGTCACCACGTGTCCTTATAAATCCCAACATTCATCCCACAAAGTCCCATCACAAGGGAGAAACAAACAAATATACAAAAACCATGTTTTTGCCCGTATTGAAACAAGCTGTATGTCGTATGGACCTAAAAACTCAATTTCCCTGTATCACAATATGGGGTTAACCGTGTGGGTTGACACGGTATGCAGATGGTGAAGATTTTGAGTTATTGACAGGAACAGATCAATGCTGTGTTTTAAAATATCTCCGTCAATGCAAATTCATTATATTGTCTTATAACGTGGATTTAATATCCAATACATGTTGCCGTATGTTAAAATAAAGAGTACAGTGCAGTAATGCAAAACTAGTCACGATATTGTTATCGGTTAACAGTGATTGCACTAAACTAAACTTCATTAACTCTCATGCAATCTTGGGTCCAAGAGACCCAGAATGATGTCTTTCGTATCCACGTTACAGGCCTTTGCATGACCTTACACAATACATTTAACATCCTATATATAGAGGGATCAATAAGTAATTGTTGAGCAATTACACATTATTGTTTGCACGGGTGTTTCAGACCCAACAACTTAGAGCCGTGTGGAGTATTTGCCGGTATCTTTCCTAGGGTTTAGATATGAAACACTGGATAGCAATCACACGCGTGATATATTTTTTCGCAAATCCGATTAGCACGGTTGGCAATGTACGATGCGAAAGAATTGCAACGTACCATACATAAGTAGCAGCAAAGGATCGACCCCCTAATGTGTACTATACAGTATATCAAACTCCGTGACCATAATGTGCCATGTGTATGTCATTAAAGCCACTGGCATTCCTGCGTGCGTCCATTTAGAGGACTTAAAAAAAAACCAAGAAGCCACTCCTCGCCTCCCACGCCATCCTTTGCACTGACTTGTCAAATTAATCCTGGTGCACAGACTGAAACACATTGGCCACTGTACACACACCCCCATCACAGGCACACCGGTGATGTTATAGACCGTTCAGTACAATAACTAGCAGTCGCATACACCAGAGACACAGACATACACCATCACATCCAGATACGAGCATGTACACACGCATGTGTGACAGGCTACGTGCACTTTGAGGCCCACGTGAAGTGTCGAAGGCTCGCTCACGAGAGGTTATGGGACAGACCCAGATGCCACAAGATAGGTCGACAGAAAGCAGACACATAGATGCACTTTAGGATACATGTGACACATGATGCTGATCGAGCTGAACACACCATCGTATACGCCACAACGGAAACAAATCACACGTGGCTAATTTGTAACAGTCGCACTAATTTGTTGGCAATATGTTAAGGTAGATCAATGATATTGACGAGGTCTGGCTCGCCACGAAGAGGGCTTCTTCGTGAGAGAGTTGGTGTCATAATTGATTTTTTTGCCCTTTTATCTGGCAACAAAACTGACACCTTTTTTTACAAGGAGTCATGTTTGCATTGACCACAATACCTGCAGTCGGAATGCAAACAAAAAACATAACTCTGATAATTATAATGTATGCATTGTCCTTGAAATTGATTGGTCCACACCCGAGACAGCTTTCCTGCAAGTGTCTGAAATTTGCAGTCACGCACTTAAACACATTGTCCTGCGGAGGGAGCTGGTAGGAACGTCGGGTTGCTCGGTCAATGGCCTGCAGGGTCAACGGCGGCGTGGTGAATTCCGCAAACATGGCCGACTGTGAGGGCGGGCACAAGCCGGCGTGAGTAGGTTAAACGTTGAGTTTTATAAGGGCACCACGGGGTGACCAGCCCCTCCCCACCCACGCCCCACCCCTCCCACCACCCACCCAGCCCCACCCAGCCCCACCCAGCCCCTCCCCACCCTCTCCTCCCCACCCACCCCACCCAGCCCCTCCCCACCCTCCCCTCCCCACCCAGCCCCTCCCCACCCTCCCCTCCCCACCCAGCCCCACCCCTCCCACGCCCCACCCTCCCACCCAGCCCCTCCCCACCCAGCCCCTCCCAAACCCTCCCCACCCAGCCCCTTCCCACCCTCCCCCACCCAGCCCCTCCCCACCCAGCCCCTCCCCACCCAGCCCCTCCCAAACCCTCCCCACCCAGCCCCTTCCCACCCTCCCCCACCCAGCCCTTCCCCACCCAGCCCCTCCCTGCACGACGGACGGACACAATAATCCCCTGTGGGCTGGTGTAACCAGGAGGTTCCTACCAGTATAATATACAGACACCTACCACAACATTATTGTGTCACCGGTGCAAAGAGAATGTTTAAACAAGCACCATCCTAGGTACACATCCCATGCAGAGCGGCCACACATCGTAACATATGAACATGAGCAGACAAAGGTCACGTACAAAACAGGTTGTCGTGGCCATACACACGAGCCAACCAACACATTGAAGGGAAAACACAAATATCAGCTGTGAACAACAATGAGGCACTTGCTGTGAGGGTTAGCACCAAGCTCGCAGCGTAGTCTCCCAACTACAGATATGCACAGCCACACCAGGTACTCATTTAAGATTGGGTCGTCACAGGAAAGTTCAGGATAGGTGCACACATGTCATGGGCCAGTGGTGGTGTCTGTAACGTACACCATTGTCTACTGACATTATCTTGTTAGACATAGTCGCCTACAGACACAATAGAAGCCCATACACATCATCACCACACACAGGAACAATAACTTAAAAAAACCGTACAATTTATATCAAATGACTACATTTATAGTACGCTTAGCAACATCTCCCGTACTGCAAATGTTTGGTAGGACCCTCGAGAAAAATAGTTTTGGAGACTCAGCAAAACTTTTTTTCTGAATAAAGAATAAAAATAGCCATCAATGACACGCACACACTCCACCCACATTCATCAGGTTCTGACACACGAATACAGACCACACCGGCAACATCGCTGTACATATGTAGAAACATCATCGAGCATACATATCACATACAGACAAGCTTTTGCACACTCAACACACACCACACGCTCATCACATACATACAGACATAGGTATGATCACACACACACACACCACACGCACATCACAGACATACAGACATAGGTATGATCACACACACCCCACACGCACATCACAGACATACAGACATAGGCATGAGTCCACACACACACCACACACTCATCACATACATACAGACATAGGTATGAGCACACACATACACACACCACACGCACATCACATACAGACATAGACATGAGCACACACACACCACACACTCATCACATACATACAGACATAGGTATGAGCACACACACCACACGCACATCACAGACATACAGACATAGGCATGAGCCCACACACACACCACACGCACATCACATACATACAGACATAGGTATGATCACACACATACACACACCACACGCACATCACATACATACAGACATAGGCATGAGCCCACACATACACACACCACACGCACATCACATACATACAGACATAGGCATGAGCCCACACACACACCACACGCACATCACATACATACAGACATAGGTATGATCACACACACCCCACACGCACATCACAGACA